GGGTGTGTGGCCAAGGTCCGCATTCCTGGAGATGGAGGGATCAGCCCAGGGAGGAAGAAAAATAATTCCTATGAAATGTACCCCAGTCAGTGCTGCTGCAAATGTGCCTGAGGACTGAGGGAACGTTCTGGAGCGAGCTGTGAGGATGGTGAGGAGCAGGGGCGGGGGGAGTGGGGGAATGCTGTGTGGGGAGGTCACAGAGGGGAGGGGCAAGGAGGGGCTGGGGACTCCAGGGCAGGGTGCAGAGGCTTCCTGTGGGAGCCAGAGGGATCCTCCAGTTCTTCACCGGCCCTTTCCCGAGCAGCCGAGTGGCTGGACCTTTGGCAGGCGCTGGGGTGAGGAAGTGAGCGAGCACCAGGTGCAGCTCCCTCTGGGGCAAAGAATATGCCCACAGCCACGTCACGTCATGGCAACGACAGGAGGGGGGCATAAGGTTCAGGGCGAGGAGCAGAGGGTGACAGGGCTATTAATTTGGTGGCATGGGAGGACCTTTCTGGGGAGCCAGCCTTTGAACAACTCTAGAAAAGAGCACAAAATAGGGGTACAGAGTACCCCCTCCAGGTGGGAGCAGGTGATGTGCAGTGCTGGACACAACGAGCAGGGTGGAGACGTGGCTGGAGAAGTAGCCAGGGGCCAGCCACTGGCCCGCGTGCCGGTAGGGGTGCGCGAGAGCGAGGTGGAGAGAGGGGAAGGACAGAGGCAGAGGCCCGCTGTGGGTCAGCCTGGGAACAGGTCAGTGGGCTGGGCCTCCCGCCAAGGTTGCCGTCGGGGAGAAGACAGGCCTGCTCTCCGCTCCACCCACACCCAGGGAGCCACGCTCACAGCACCCCTGTCACCCACCCATGTGCGTGGAAACGCAGCACAGATGCACACGTGTGTGAACACAGACAGGCACGCAGCTGCCGGGTAGGGATGTAGGTATTCACTAGAAATTTTAGAAGGGCAGGACCGAACTTTAATCCAGTTCCACCACAGCACAGAAGAACCGAGGCCCAGAAGGGGGGTCACGTTGTGAAGTCCCCACACTTGGGCGATCTGGGAACATATGGATGTCCTCTGTGCCCCACCTCCCCGAGCTTGTGTGCACCCGCAAACATAGGCACCAGCAAGATGCCTCTGGAACCCCATCTTCTCAAGGACCAGGCCAGCCTCCGCCTGCAGGAGACTCAGAGGCTTCAACATGTCCTGCCAGGAGTCTGCTGAGCTTCCTCCCGCTTATTCCAACAAGCTGCTTAGAGACGGGTTGAGATCCAGACCGGCCGGCCCCTCTGGGCCCTGTGGCCAGGGCTCGGCGAGAACAGCTGGCCGCACATCTGAGCCCCACTGTTTCCTTCCTCTTGGGGCTATTCCAGCCTCCTCCAGATTCCTCTCCTCTCCCTCGGAGGCTTGCTGCCCTCCTTTACTTTCTGTCTTTACTCTCTGTCGACTGGCGCTGGAGGCCCAGGGCCTTCCTCCTCCTCTCCCGCCTGCCCTCCCCCCCACCCGTTTCTCCACCTCTGGTCTCTCTCCAGTTCTCGCCCTGCTGAGCTCTGGACCTCCCACTCCATTTGCTTTCTCTCTCTCTCTCTCCAGGATCTTTTTTTGCCTTCCAGGAAAAGCTGACGTGGCAGTCAGCAGCCCCCAGGTCGCTGGAGTGGGGCCTCTTTGGGGTGGGAGAGTCCCAGCTGAGCAGGACCCAGAAGGCGGGATTGGCCGCCAGGGCGGAGGCGGAGTTGGTAGGAAGGGGAGGAGGAAGGGCTGGGCCTCTGAGGGTTGAGGAAGGGGGAGCAGGAAGAAAAACTGGGGGAAGAAGTGAGCATCCCCTCCTGTGCTGTGGTGACCAACAGCCCTCGTTTGCATGGGACTGTCCAGATTTTAGCTCTGAAAGTCCATGCCCCCTAAAACCCCTCAGTTCTAGGCAAACCTGTTGGTCACTTTACCACAAGCTACTCTGAAGCCCACAGGAGCAGGACCAGGGCTGCAGGAGGGGACCCCAAGCCTGGGCCCTTAGTCCCCCCGCATCCATTCTTCCTTCCACTGCTCGGGGCTGCTGAGGACCCCAGGGAAGGGGGAGCGGCTTGAAGGTCTGAGAGGAACGCTCCAGGCCTGGGCATCTAGGCCTCCATCTGTATTCTGGGACAGTTAAGAACTGCAAGGGCTCCACCTACTCCCCGAGGGCCCCATCTCCAGGACTGAGTCAATCTTGGGGTGGGGTTGGGACAGAGAGGAATGAGTTTCTGAGCCTTGAGGAGGAAGGGGAGCATCCCTCTGGCTTGTCTCAGGCCTGCTTGAATTTTCTCCTGTGGGATGAGCCTTTCAAGGGAACTTTTGGGGGAGTGGAGGACTATCTAAGAGGCAACCGGCCCCTTAGTGAGCCTCACCCATCTTGAAAGGTGTGTGACTAGCTGGGAGGTAGAGACGCCTGCTCCTCCTCGGGCTCCACGGGGTGGCCCTGGTGTCCCCCTGTGAAATGCCTTGGAGGATGGGATGGTTCCTAGCTGAGGCCCCCTGGGCGCTGGTGGTCCTTGCTCTGCCACCCTTCCTGATGGGGTTGGGGCATAGTTGCCCCTCAGCAGTAAGGGGATCTGGGCAGCTGGGGAGGAGAGAGCTGTTAGTGATGCGTTTCCATGGTGGTGGAGAGGGAGGGCCTGGTCTCTCTGATTTCTCCTGCCTTCACCCCATGACTTCCTCAGTGGGGTTTTGAGGGCAGCCTAATGTACATCTGCCATCAAAGTCTTCAGTGACCAGAAGTCGGGACCCAAGGGTGCCCCTTCCTGGGAAGGCTGGGTCTCCACGTGTGAGAAACAGTCGTAAAACATCCTGTCATGAGGAACCGCTCAGCCTTGGACCCATCCCTCCCCCTGTCTGGGCCCAGAGGCCCTGTCCGTAAAACAAAGAGGTGAAGAAGCTGACCCTAAAGCCCTTCTGTTTCCGGCATCGGGCTGCCTCGCCCATTCATCCATTCATTGACTCAAGAGATGTTTTCTGAGCTTCTCTGTGCCAGTGATGAACAGCCATTGAGAGGGCGAGACCCACCCCTCACCAGGCTTCTGCTCTAGCAGAGAGAAGCTCTCGTACTCAAGAGAGGTAAAGAAATCACTACAGATGACAGTTAGAACCATGAATAAAAAACAGGAGGTCTGTGAGGGCAATTAAAGGGGGACCCTATGTCTCAGAAGGGCTACTCTGATGAGGTGATGTTTAATGGAATCCTGACATGCTTTGCCGGGAGGCGCCAACCACAGCAGGAGGGGCAGAGAATAGGGAGATCTTCGCACTTTGACCCTGGTGTGCTTTGGAGGAGGGCAGGGTAAAAACTGAGCTCCAAGGAAGTGAGGTGTCCCCTATATGGGTAATAGTGGTTTATGGTCTGTGCCAAAGCAGAGGGAAGCCCCCCTCCACCAGGAAGTCCTCCCCGACTGGTTTATTGAGCCCTGGATATGTGGGCTTCTAGCCTCAGACTGATCCACCAAATTCAGAACTTTCCTAAAAATTCTCCAGCACAACAATGATGCCAGAGAGGGCTTCACCGGCGGTGGAATGGAGCTCAGGCTATAAGGATATCATCAGCATCAGCCTGGGTGGGGGTCATGCTCTGAGTCACTTTGCAGGGAGCACACTGTGCTTACCAGGACTTGTGTGCCCTTGCTCAGTGGCAGGGGACTGTACGTGAGACCAGCCGGGATGGGGGCCCCTTGGGGATGCCTTCAGCCTAAGCTACACCCGTTTGTCTTTGGCCTGCCAAGAGGGTAAATTGAGTCATGAGCAGAATTTAGTCAGTTACACAGAGAGAAAGGGAAGGCAGTGTGGGCGGATACCTGTAGGTGTATGTTATGCCGGACAAGATTATCCAGTCCACAAATTTCCATTCTGGGGGCTCGCTCATCTTTTTATCCTCCAGCTTTCTTGATTGGGGCTTCTTCCTTCTTACCACTCTACTCCCCTGGGCCCTCCAGGGAAAAAGTTTCAGTTATGGTCCCCTGGAGATACAGGCCCCTTTCATACATTGCTAGGAGTCCCGTGTCCAGAGAGGGCAAGGCTGCCCCCCAGTTATGCAGCACCTCTGGGGGGTGGGGGTCATGCTCTGAGTCACAGAGAGAATATTCGGCACTAGACTTTAGCCAAAAAGCCAAGAAACAACACAGAGAGCATATTCTGGAAGGAATGAGGCCCCTCAACCTCACCTCTGCCTGCCAGGTGGGCTGTCCTCGGTGACGGGTCCACCTCTGAGCCTCTGTGTTTCAGAATCCCAGCCAGGGAAGGCGGAGCCCAGCTGGCTCCTGTTCCAAGCTTTCTGCTGTGGCTTCTGCTCCCTGTCACCTCCCACCCAGCATGGGTCTGGAGCCTTGGCACCTTGGGACCTGCTTAGACAGTGAGGTGTGTTCAGAGCAGTCCAGTTGGGTCCAGTCTCGGACCCAACAGGACATGGGCCAGGGGGACGTGATTTCCTTACAAAACAGGACCAACACTGTGGCTTCTCATAGAGGCGCTGGGGCCTTGTGAGTGTTCGTACACTCTGGCCTTCTCAACTTTTCAATGAAACACATGCATCACCCACACAGACACACACAACCCAAACACACATCCAAACTCACACCTATCACCACTAAGTCTCCACAAACTCACACACAGACAGCCGCACACCTACACAAACACACACACTCAGACATTCCCAGACACACACAAATTCCCATACACAGGGTCTTGTACCCACAAGTACACAAACTCATCTGCACACATAGAGATATCGCACCCACACGCGTGTACACACAATGGGGATACACACCCGCTCAAACAATCCCGGCTTGGTGAACTCCCCCCCACTTTTTTATTCTTGTTTGAAGCGAGGTTAGAAGTCCCCTGCCTTCCATGAGATTCAGCCAGTTTCTCGCTTTTCCTCCATAAAAGCCCTTCTGGCCCCTTCTTTTCTTGGGTCCTGTCCAGATCATGCTGTGTCTTTAAGGAAGCTGAAGCTGCTAAAAGTGAGTGAGAGAGAGGGAGGGGGAAAAAAACCCCAAAAAATTTGGCATCTTTTCTCCCTCAAGTTTCTGGTGTCACTTATGAAACACGGGTCCTTGTTGCTGCAGAGAAGCGGTTGTTTTTCTGGACGGAGGGAACGCGGGCCTGGGCTCCTTCTCCAAACTCTAGCCTCCTCTCAGCAGAAGTCCTAGGCACCCTGTAAGGAGGGCAGGCGCAGGGCAGGGGCGGGCATGCCAACCCAAGGGGGTAGGTAGGGGCCAGGCTGCCCTTCTTCCAGCATCTTGGGCGTCCCCCGGTGCTCTCTACCCGCCCTGCAGACTCTCAAGCTAATTTTGTCCTTTGTTGCTTTTTGGGTCCATCTTAGAAGCGACTCAGCTACCAAGAAAGAGTACTTTGAAGGTAAGTCAGTGGGAGAAGGGGTGGTCTATTGCGCTCAGGGCCAAGCCCCTCGGGGCACGTCCTTGTTGGCTTGAGGAGCTGGGCCCCATCCCCTGCTGGGATCTGTCCAGGGGCATCTTGCCCCTCTGACAGCTGCAGCCTGGAATCTCAGCAGCGTTTTGGTTGAGCAAGTGGCCTCGCCCAAGCCAGCTGAGAGGTTGGGGGCCGGGGGTGGGGGGTGGGTTATTTAGGCAGCTGCCTGGTGTAGTTTGAACAGAACAGGCCACGGGTGTGATTCTATAGAAAGAGTCTGGTGTCTGCTGTGGTCACGGCCCATAGGAGCGGGAGGGGGGTGGGGCGGATGGGGGTGGTGTGCACTGCACAAGGAGCCTTGTCTGGACTAGGGCAAAGCATACCTATGGGGGGCTCTGGTGGGAGGGACTGCAGCCAGGATGTGGGAGGGCAGGAGGGAGGTTCTGTGAAGTGCTGGGGGAGGGGGCGGCTGAAAAGCAGATTTCAAGTCATAAAGTCAGCTAGAAGCTGTCCGGGCAGGGAGAGCTCTCTGCTGGGAGGAGGTGCTGGGGCTGCTTCTGTCCTGTCTTCGCCCAGCCTGGCTGCATGACCTCAGGCAAGTCCTGGTCCCTTGGGCCTCAGTTTCCCTTTCTGTGGAATGGGGGTAGTGGGCTAGGTGGCATGGGGTCTTAGCTGGGTTGTGTAGGGCATGGCCTTCTACTGGGGGAGGGCTCTGAACCGCGGTCCTGAGGGGGTGAGCTCCTTCCATGGGTCTTTGGGGTCACCCGGGTGCCTTGTCTGTCTCCACAGGAGCAAGGATGCAGGAGCTTTATCTGCTGTGCTGGGTGGTCCTCCTGGGCCTGGTGCGGGCCTGTCCCGAGCCCTGTGACTGTGGGGAGAAGTATGGTTTCCAAATTGCTGACTGTGCCTACCGAGACCTGGAGGCTGTGCCACCCGGCTTCCCGGCCAATGTAACCACGCTGAGCCTGTCAGCCAACCGGCTGCCAGGCTTGCCACAGGGCGCCTTCAGGGAGGTGATCCTGCTGCAGTCGCTGTGGCTGGCACACAATGAGATCCGCACGGTGGCCGCTGGCGCCCTGGCCCCTCTGGGCAACCTCAAGAGCCTGGACCTCAGCCACAACCTCATCTCCGACTTTGCCTGGAGTGACCTGCACAACCTCAGTGCCCTCCAGCTGCTCAAGATGGACAGCAACGAGCTGACCTTCATTCCCCGCGACGCTTTCCGCAGCCTCCGTGCCCTGCGTTCACTGCAGCTCAACCACAACCGCTTGCACTCGCTGGCCGAGGGCACCTTCGCGCCGCTCACGGCGCTGTCTCACCTGCAGATCAACGATAACCCTTTCGACTGTACGTGCAGCATCATGTGGTTCAAGACGTGGGCCCTGACCACGGCCGTGTCCATCCCGGAGCAGGGCAACATCACTTGCACTTCCCCCCACGTGCTCAAGGGCACCCCACTGAACCGCCTGCTGCCTCTGCCTTGCTCCGCGCCCTCCGTGCAGCTCACCTATCAGCCCAGCCAGGACGGCGCCGAGCTGAGGCCGGGCTTTGTGCTGGCGCTCCACTGTGACGTGGATGGGCAGCCGGCCCCCCAGCTCCACTGGCATATCCAGACGCCCGGTGGCACCGTGGAGATCACCAGCCCCAATGTGGGTACCGATGGGCGCGCCCTGCCCGGTGCCCTGGCCGCTGGCAGCCGGCCGCGCTTCCAGGCCTTTGCCAACGGCAGCCTGCTCATCCCCGACTTTGGCAAGCCGGAGGAAGGCACCTACAGCTGCCTGGCCAGCAACGAGCTGGGCAGCGCGGAGAGCTCGGTGAACGTGGCCCTGGCCACGCCGGGTGAGGGTGGTGAGGATGCCCTGGGGCACAGATTCCACGGCAAAGCGGCCGAGGGCAAGGGCTGCTACACAGTTGACAATGAGGTGCAGCCTTCGGGGCCTGAGGACAACGTGGTGATCATCTACCTCAGCAGGGCAGGGAGTCCTGAGGCTGCAGTAGCAGGAGAAGGGGTTCCCGGGCAGCGGCCCCGCCGCCTGCTCTTGCTGGGCCAGAGCCTCCTCCTTCTCCTTTTGCTCCCTTCCTTCTAAACTCGCCCCAACCTGGGCTGGGCTGGCGGCTCCAGAGCCTCCCCGGCTCCTCCCGGCCTCTGCTGCTGTAAGTACTGCAGAGCTCGCGGGGGCGGGGAGGGCCTCCACATCTTCCTACCTCCCCCCCTCATCTCTTCTGGAACACTCACCACCCCTAACTTCTAGACTTGCTCCAAGCTAGTGACTAGGACAGATCTGATCCCCAGATTTCCCACCTAAAGTGCTCACTGCTGCTAACCACGCTGCCCACGCTCCCTCGCTGGGCGGCACACTGCCGGGGCAGGGCATGTCCTAGACAACTGGTGGCGCCTCACTGGTGGGAATCCGGGTCCTGGGACTGATCAGGGGGTGAGGGCTGGGGGCAGGGTGCGGGCTGGGCAGGGAGGTAGGGCGCAGGCGCAGGCGCAGGAGAGATGGGTCGGATACAGGCTGTGGCTGCAGGGCCCGAAGCTCTCTGAGCTCCGGCCCCCCTAGTTGCTCTCTGCTGACTGGGGGCTCAGGAGTCTCTTTGTCTGAATCTCAGACAGGATCTGGGATGGGCCTTCATCTCCCCTCACCCTTACCCTCGGCCTGCGCTCCTCCACCCTGCACGCCAGCCCCTCCTTGCTCTCCAAGCATCCATCTGTAGCCTGCTGCTCCCAAGAGGCCAGTCAGCCTGGGGCCAGCAGAGAAATAAACAGCATTTCTGATGCTCTCCCATGTCTGCCTGGAGTTTTGTGTGTATCTGGGAGCCCTCAGTGGGGCACAGGACCAGGAGCTGCACCGTCAGGACGGCCAGCACCAGCGCCGGCCCACATGTGACAGGAGCCCTCGACCAGGGGGCAAGCAGGCTGGAGGGCGGGGCCGTGTGGGCGAGGACCGCCTGTTCCCTCTCTCCTGAAGAGCTCCTGCGAAATCAGGGGTTCGAGCCTCACCACCATTTCAGAGGCCTCCCTGGGGCACCCAGTGGCACTGAGTGGTCCTTTAGGCCAGCTGTGGCCTGAAGCTGCATTTTGGAGGGGGGCCTGGGTTGTGGCCCCTCTCCCCAGTCCTGCTCTTGGAAGAGATGTTAGGGAAGGGGGGAGAGTAAAAGGGCGGGGGCAGGGTGTGTGCAGATAAGGGGGGATGGGAACAGGGAAGGGACAGGACTGGGGAGAGAGAGGGGAGCGTGAGACCCAGAGAGACGGAGAAGGAACACATCTGAAGGAGCAGTCAGAGAAAATGAGTGGTGCTTTCTAGGAAGAAGTGGTGTTCTGGAGGCAAGTTTTTCCCTAGGAGTCTCTCCCGAAAGAGCAAGTAGTACTGGTCTGGAGGGGAGGTGCTGGCAGCAATCTCGGGGTTTCTTAGAATGGGAACCGTGAGAGTGGGGTCAGAACCTGGAGCTGCAGAGCCCCTTATCTGTGCAGAGTCAGAGATGTCTCCCTACTGCTGTGGCCCTTTCAAAATCTGGGAGTCCACATGGACAAGACCCGTGGGAGGGGCTCTGCAACCTCAGCCCAGAGCCCCACAATGGCCGAACCCAGCAACTCAGAGGCAGGGAGGCCAAGGAGCCTGGGGGCTGACTAGACCCCTTCCCCATCCTCCTGTGTGTAGAGCCTCCCTGCCCCTCAGGCCATGGTCACCCTGGAGCTGCTGCTGAGCTGGTGTCACCAGCAGCCAGTCAAGGATGGCTGCACAGCTGGCCTCTGAGGGCAGGGTGGAGCCCAGTCCCTGTGCCGCGCTGCCTGTGGTAAGTTGCTCTCTCTCTCTCTCTCTCTCTGGGCTTCAGTTTCCTGAGGTGACGGACAATGGGGTAGGACATTGAAATGCTTAAGGGTCCAGTCCACGATGATAGCCGAGTCTTGATCATCCTACCCCCTGGCATCTCTCGCTCCATTCACAGCTGAGCAGGCTTGGATCAAGTTCCCCAGCCAGGCTCATGGTCCCTTGGACTGGCTCTCTCATGTCACCCACCCTTTTCCACCTTGCTTGGGATGCTTTAGCAACTGTCCCCTTAATGCTCTGGGATGTGTCTTCCTCTGTGCCTTCACTTATGCTGCTCCCTTGGTCTGGACACCCTTTCCCTGCTCATTTGACTAAATTAGCTTTCCAGACTTGGCTCAGGCACCACCTCCTCCAGAAAGCCTTCCTAGATGCCCTCTCCTCATCTGGATCAGGTCGCCTCCTCTGGCTCACAGCCCCCCTGGTGCCCGGTGTCCCAGCCTGGTTACGCCCATTGTGACTATTTCTTGTGTAGGACAGAGACCCAATCTGCCTTCCCGTCCCTGTGACCCTGTCAGTCCCCAACACAGGGAGGGCCAGGAAGACAACTTTCAACAGGCTGCTGTGGAATCAGTTTGCCCTCCTGAGGAATGGACCCCCGAATCCGTCTCCACACCCCTGCTAGCGGCCCTTCCTCTCTGCACTCGCAGGCACAGCCCCCACCTTCACACCTTGACCCGTATTACTTCCCCATCTCCTGAAATCTCTCTTCCTCCCTACATCTTGTCATTTCTTAAGACCAGACTAAGTCTTCCTTCCAAAGCCAATGCCCACACCACTCGGGGGTGACATCATGGGGCCTCCTGTCCACCACCCAAAGGGGAGCAGAGATGGGGCCCCGCCCACTGCTCAGCCCAACGTGTGACTGGACCACCCCACCCCCACCCAAGCCTCATGACATGCTGATTTACTGAGTGTGGCCCGTTTTCCCTGCGCCCCTCTCTCCAAGGAGGACTGTTTCTCAAGGACAAGTTTATTACGCGGAATACACTCACCTCTTTCATAATACCTAAAGACACACCAGCTACAAAAATATCTGACTCTCAAGTGTGGGCAGCTCAGGGTGTGGGTCCTGGTTGGAGCTGGGACTTTGCTGCTGGTGGGAGCACAGAGCTGCCTTGCAGGCCAAGAGGCCCCCAGAGAGGAGAGGGCGGAGTGGGAGGAGAGACAGAATCCCTGCGTCTGGTCCCCGGTGGTGAGGCTGAGGGTGAAGCGGGGCTGAGCTGGAATTTGAGGCTTCCCCAGCCTGAATCACCTATTCCGCTCAGGAAGAGGCCCAGTGGCACAGCCAGCTTGGGGAGGGTGTGGCTCTCTTGGACCAAGGGCCTAAACCACTGATTGCTTTCTCCAGAGTCCTCACTTTATAAGGCTAATGAGGCAGACTAGAGTCTTCCCAAGGCTGGTAGTCCAGACACACCTCCACCCAACTCCTGGCTCAGAGCCCCTGGCCTCTGGGACTGGGTACTGGGGCGCTGATCCTGGGGGAGCTGTTGGCAGAGCTGGTGCTAAGCAGAGAGGCAGCCATGTTTGGGGAGATGCTAGGAGAGCCAGGCAGGGAAGCCCCCAGTACAGATGAAGACAAGGTGGCTGGGCCTTAAGCATCCTTAGGACTGGGCACCTAAGAGGGCCGGCTTCCGGAAGGCTTGCAGGGCTGGGTTGTGCAGCAGCGTGTAGGCCAGACCCCAGCGGGCTCTGCCTCGGTGGGCCCTGGACCCAGCTGCCTTGGCTGTAGTGTCTTTCGTCTGCAGCAACAGCATTCCTGGGAGGGAGAGACCTTTTGTGAGTCACTCAACAAACCCCTAGGCTAGACCCCTACCACCCAGACGTGAGCAGAGTCTAAAAAACCCATGTATAGTATGAGAAGTTGCTTATAGAGTTGGGGAAAGAGTGTGGCTACATGGGGCCTCCCTCGTGGTGCAAGGGGTTAAGACGTAACTAATGAAGCTGTCCCCAGCCACTGCAGCATGAGTTCGATCCCCGGCCAGGGAACAAACCACATGGCACAGCAGACCTCTCCTGGCTCGTCCCTGCTCCCCTCAGCAGTGTGTTTCAGTCATTCTGCCTGTTCTGCTCCCCGCTCTGTCTCTGGTGGATCCTCTCACCCCCACACTTCTGGCCTGTGCTCCAGCTCTTGTATGCATAAATAAATAAATCTTTAAAAAAATAGAAGAGTGGGGGCTGCAGCGAGACCTCTGCCACGGCTGGGGATGTCATCCTGCAGGTGGCAGACAGAGAAGGAGAAGGATGAGGCCTGTGGCAGGACAGGAGGCAGCTCAGGGGCCTGTCCTTCCGCAGCAGTGGGAAAGTGGGGGGCATGCTTCTGGGGGTGGGGGACAGCAGAGTCCCTTAGAAAGACAGCGATTTACCCCTCTGCGGAGGTGGGATGTGTGCTCACATGTGGAGAGAGAGAGAGAGAGAGCGCACTAGCATGGAAAAAGTGACCCCGAGATAGAGCTAGACCAGGGAAACTTTCCCTGCCTCCCTCCCACAGGCAGCCGAGAGAGGAAGGCAGCATTTTCCTGGCATGGCCCCTGGCCCGCGGTGGGGTGGGAGGGGCAAGCCGCCTTCCTGGGAGGAGCTGGCTGGCTTCAGCGCTCGGTTCGGGGTGGAATGTGCACCTTCTTCCTCCTCCAGCCTGGGGCCGTCCTGGGGCGCTGCCGCGAGCCGGGGCCTCTGCAGGAGCAGGGCGCAGAAGGCGGTCACAGCCGGATGAGACTGGCTGACCTCTATCTTCAAGAAGTTGCAGTACGTGTGGTAGCCTGGGGGGGCGGGCGGGGGTAGTGCTGGGGGACGAGGGCCACCAGCAGGCCAGAGGCCCCAGAGGACCCCAACACATACCCAGGGCACCCTGCACCCCCTGCCTGTCGGCACGGGCAGTACACACGGGCACACGGGCCATGCTAGACGCACTGCAATGCACATGTCCCCGCCCGTGGTGACAGGCACCTCCCCAGCCAGGCTAGGTCAGGACAAGCCCTCCGTCACTCAGTCGCTGAGCAGCCGGCCCTGGCTCCTGCCCAGGGACCTTACCAGGGTCGAGGGTGGTGGCTCTAGGGGGCAGCAGGCCGAGGTCCATCTGGCCCAGGTGGACAGCGTTGTAGAGGGCAGACAGGAGCACCCGCCCGGCAGCCACCAAGGCGCCCACCAGCACGTTGATGGGGAAGAGAAGAAAGGTGGTGGCATAGAGCGCTCGCCTGGGGAGAAGGAGAGGCTGAGGCCCTGCACAGAGCCCTCCCAGGTCAGGCCTCAGTGTCCACAGCTGCTGGGCATTTATTGAGTACCTCCTGTTTACTGCGTACCTGTGTACCTGCCCTGTGCTCGGTCCCCTCTCTCACCCCACTCTCTCACCCTCATGGGGGACTGGCCGTGTCACCCCCTTCTGCAGAAGGGAAGCCGGGGCCCTGAGAATTTTGTGACTTAGTTACAAATGAAGGGTTCTGAGCTAGTCAGTGGCAGGGCTGGGGTTTAAATTCAGGTCCACTGGATCATTCTGAGACCTCACAGTGTCCCCCTCCCTCCTGTGGGTCCTAATCCACTGACTCCGAGTCCCTCCTGAGGCAAGTTTCTCCCATAGCCTTGCCATCGGACACGGAAAGAGCGCTTCTGTTAACCTCCCTCCTGCAAAGGAAGATTCTGTGGTTTTGAGGGATCAGAGGCTCCAGGGGAGAGCACTGCCTGTCCCCAAAGCAGAGAGAGCTCATCAGGGTATTTTGGACTCTATGGCAGATAAACAGAGGTATTTGGGAGGAGGCTGCACCCCTGCCTCTTTCTCTGGAGACAAGGCAGGTTCTCCTCACTGCCTGCTGCTCTCCCTGAGAGAAAGGAAGAGATGGCAGTGGAGGGATAAGATCACAAAAGGAAAGACACTTGAAGAAGAGCCTGACGGCCCGAGGAAGCCACAGCCCAGAAGTTGGCTTACCGATTGGTCAGCTCTGGGCGTCCATGGTGCGTGTCCAGGAAGACCCACTGGGCTGCCATGTTCTGCAGCATCACAGCCAGGACCAAGGTCAGCCAGAAGGGCCTGCAGGTGGGGTGGGGTGGGTTTTACATTAGCAGACCTCCGGGAAGGGGTCCCCGAGCCCTCGGCCCCTCGCCTCTCTTACCACGAGAACTCCAGGGAGCGGAGGAGCAGGAGGTCCCTGCCATGGAGCATGGGCATGAACACCAAGAAGGCGAGGGTCACGGTCCCCAGGAAGAAGATGATCTGCTGTACCAGGAGCCCTGCCAGGGTAGGCGGAGCAGGGGAGGCCACCAATGTCAGGGTCTGCGGGACCCAGCCTACCCCCCCACCCCCCCGGGAGCCTCGGGGCTTTGGAATTGGCCTGGCCTGCCTTTAGGTCACTGCTAGGCCACTGCCTGCTGTGAGAGGTGAAATTCTTTACCTCTCTGGGTCTTGGTTTCTTCCCCTCTAATGTGGGAATGGCGGCCCTGACCTGGGAGGGCTGCTCTGAAGATCCAAAGAGATAATGTCTGGGCAACTCTCTGCAAACCATAGAGTGCTTTGCAAACCTTATTTCTCCCCGATTGCTCTTGAATCCCTCCGGACAAGACTGCTTATAAAATGAATGTTTGCATTCCTCGTGCTAGGGCCTGGCCCGGGGCAGGTGCTTGAAGGTGGTCAGTTGAAACCACCGGCTAATTGTTTACCCGGGATAATGTGCACAGAAGGGCTTGGGCGGTCTAAAGTTTACCAAGATGAGGAATTACCGCTTCTAGTAATTCCTCTAAGCGCTAATCACCCTTCTCCTCCTCCCCTGTGGAGGCGAGCCACAGAGAGGGAAAGCAGGCCTTGCTTTAGCAACACTGGCCCCAGCCCCTTCATACTCAGAGGGCTTTACTGACCGCAGGGCCCAAGGGGAGAACTGGGGCGGGAAGGGGTCCTAGAAGTTAAACTAGCCAAGGGGTCCTGGAAGTTGCCTCAGTCAGACTCCCTCAGGGCAGCAGTTTGACCATGACTCTGCTTACATACCCCCAGTGACAGGGATCTCATCACCTGAGGCAGTGGTGGCGTGGCCTCCCCTACACAGCAGGAATGTGTCTCAGGAAATTCCCACCTTTGGGACCTGGGCCTACCCTCTGTCTAAACACCTGGCGGCTCCCAGGTCCAAGCTTTCATGAGGGGTCTCCTGCTCTCATCAGAGTGAGCTGGCTGAGGAAGGCCAGGTGCCCCACCCCGCCTCCTGCTTTTCACCCAAAGACAGATACAGCAGACACCTGGGGCAGCCAAAACCTGCTGGGATCTCTCCCCTCCCCCACTGGGACCCCGTCTGGGGTTGGTGGAGGCCAGGGGCTCTGGATAAGGGGGCGCTTACCGAGGCAGGTAAAAGCAGTCTGGTAAGCACAGAAGCTCATCCAACAGAAGATGGCATGGCGGGAGGGGTGGAGGCTCTGGGGCAGAGGACCCAGGTCCAGGGGGGCCCCTCGGTGCAGAGCCTGCAGGTTGGCCCTGGGTGGGGGTGAGGAAGGCGGGGACTTCAGGGAGCAACACACGCACCCTAAATTCCTCCTCTGGACCAACCCCTGACTGAACTCCCAGTCTCAGTACAACCCGCAGCCCTGGGCAGGGCAAGTCCAGTGGAGGCCGCTAACCCAAGCTGGGAGGCCAGAGAGGGCTTCGGAAGAGGTGATGGCCCAGCAGTCTTAAAGGGTGAGGAAGAGTAAGATGAAAGGGTGAGAACGGGGGAGGGAGGCATCGAGGGAGACAGGCAGGAGACTCAACCTGAGCCAAGTCAGGGCAGTGAGAAACAACAGCAGGAAAAGAAAGAGACAGGCAGCTCAGCCGTGAGGGCAGCGCAGCCCCTCGGTGCCCAGGTCCCAGGAGGGTAGAGGCTTAGGGGCCTAGAATATCAACTGAAGCAGGACCCTGAGGTGTGACAAATGCACAGTGACTGTGAACCAGTTCTCTGACATTGTTAAGCGCCTGGACTTCCCCTTTCGCACCCACCCTGTTCTCTTCTAGAACCTTCTTTTCCTCTTTGCTCAAAATCCCTCAGTACTTCTTATCACTCATCACAAAGGACACATTCATTCTCCAACCTAGAGGAACCACAGGCCGCCCCTCCTTCCCCCAGCCCCTGGCAGCTGGGCCTGCAGAGCCTCTCCCTCCCTCCAGCTCCAGACTCCTCTCTACCCCCAGGGCCCGAGCTCAGGGCTCCAGGCTGTAGGACTCACCTCTTCCCACAACTGCACCGGGGATTCTGAGCCTGCCACTAACCTGTGTGTCACCAGCGAGCGGATCAGCATGAGGAAGGTGAGCGAGCAAGACAGGACCAAGGCAGAGATGTAGCAAACTGGAGAGGCAGAGAGGGAGCAAAGTCGGAGATCAGGGCCTGCAGGGGCTCCTGGGTGCCTCCAAGCCCTGCCTGGTGTTGACAGCCTTGGCCACCGATGACCAGGGGGAGGAGAGGCCACCACTGAGGCTGCAGACCCGGCCTTCATTCTGGTCTTGTGCTTCCGCTAGGATTCCCAGTGAGAGACTCCATCCAAGCTGGCAACTGCCCTCACCTCCTCCACTTCCTAGGCATGTGGCCTTAGGGAAGGGGCACTTCCTCTCCCCTAGCTCAGCTGCTCATCCAGGCACTCTGCTAGGCTGGTCCTCTCCCAGCATGACAGGAGCCAGAGAGCCCCACCTGTGCCCACGTGGCCTCTGCTCAGGGCACAGAGAATGCGAGCGCACGTCAGCTTGGCCTGAGTCCATCAGAATGTGGAGGTGGCCACTGCTACCCATCAAGGGGAGGGCCTCACCCTCTCTTCCCCACCCCCCCTCCCATGCGCACAGGTCATAACTTCCCAGCAGCCAGGCGAGAACGCAGGACCTGCTCTCACCAAGCCTGGTAGTTTAGCAAAGCAGGGGCAAAGCGCAAGCCCCTCCCACTCTGCGTCCTCATCCAGCCTCACTCCGCACCCTCACAGCAACCCCACAGGAGAGGCACCGGGTCCACCAGGGAACTGAGGAAGTGACTACTGCCAAGAAATGCCGCGGGGAGACGTGCAGTCCTCTCCCAGCAGACCCAGGATGTGCCCCGTTCCTACACCTGAATTCCCCAGTGAGTCTGGGGAGGTGTTCCTGGTTCCTGTGTTCCCCCACTTCCTCCAGAGACTCAGGAGGGGAGCGAACACACCCAGCCACAAGGACTGGAGAAGGGGTCAGTCCTGGCAGCACGTTAGGGTCACTTGGAGCTGTTAACACCTCCCATGGCCCAGGCTGCACCCCGGGGCCAACTAAATAAAAATTTCTGGGTGTGTGACCCTGACTGTAGCCTTCATGAAAGTACACTCGGTGATTCCCAGGTGCAGTGAAGGTTGAGGGCCACTGCCCTGGCGGCTTCCAGAGACAGAACCCCCAGGACTTATTTCAATCAGCAGTTGAATGAAATCAACCAAGCAGGCACATACAGCTTGTCTCCGCCAGTAGTTCTGGAACTTGGGCTTGTATTAGGGTCGCAGAGGCAGGCCCCACTCTGAGGGTGCTGCAGTTCTGCATGTGGCTCGAGCCCCGGGATTTTAACAAAGTTACCAGGTGCTTCCCAGTCCCAGGAGGGTTGCTACAGAAACCTGGGGCCTCTGTCCCCGGCTCCCTCCTCCAGTGGCAGGAGGGGACAACATCGTTCAGAATTCTGGAGTGGGGGAAAACACTGGGCACAGACAGCTCCACTCTGCTCCATCTGTTCTTCCAGAGCCAGCTTTGCACCAGCAAAAGTGTGTCCTAGATTGCATTTCTACAGAGGTGAGGAGTCTACCCCTGGGCCCGCCCAGGTAAATGCATAGGTTAATGCAGTGTAAAGGGTTAGCAAGTCCCTGGGCCCTGTTGGGCTCTCCTTACTCGAAAGTGCCAAGGGTGTTAAAAGCAAACATGCAGGGGCCTCCCCTGGTGGCGCAGCGGTTGAGCTTGAGTGCTGGGCTGTGAAGCTGCCCGCAGCCTCTGCAGCGCCGGTTCGATCCCCGGCCGCCGGGCGAGGGTCCCACATGGCGCGCAGACCTCTCCTGCCGCCCGCTGCTCCCCTCAGCAGTGTACTTCATCAGTCTGCCTGTTCTGCTCCCCGCTCTGGCTCTGGTGAATCCTCTCACCCTCCCGCGCTTCTGACTATACCCAGTGCTTGTATAAATAAATAAATCTTTTGAAAAAAAAAAAAAAGCGAACATGCAGCTGTACTGCAGGCAGGGCCATCGAGTGAAATGAAGGAGCTTGCCCAAGGTCACCCAGCTTGGGAAGAAACAGGAATTCTGATCTACTCTGCCTGACTGGGTCTGAGGTTTCTGTGAATGACAGCAGGCTTATGCTTTTAGGGAAGCCCTAAAACAGGCTCTCAGATCTCAGAAGACTTTCGCTACCCTCGCAAAGAACAGACCAAGGGCCCCAAGCCCAGATCTAATCTCAGTTCCTCCCTTGGCTTGCTGAATTGCCATGGGCACATCTCAACCCTCCTGGGCCTCAGTTGTCCTACCCTGTAAAGTGGAAGAATAAACGCAGCTCTGTTTGGCCCCTGCATCCAAGAAGCCAAATGGGAGCATTTGCTCTTGGGAACTACAGTATGTGGATATAAATGTCAGGCGTGATGCAGAGAATCAGAGTCCGATGTCCCAGACATGTCAAGTCCTGTATCAGGGCCTCAAATTCCTGCTCTGTGAGACGGGAGCAATGCTGCTGACCCTTCAGGGCTGCTGAGAACGAGGCCTGAGCTTGGATGTGAGCTGACATGAGCTGCGGCTGCTCCTGCCTGTGGCTGCGCTTACAGCCAACTTGGAAAATCTTCCTGGAGATATTATTTTCAGCCCACCCAGAAGCTGTCACCTGTCCAGTTTCTAGCACTTGGCCACAGTTCCAGGGCAGCTTCTGGTATGGGAGTGGAGGAAGTCAGGAGGGCGGTGGAAGTGGGGGATCACGCCCACCCCATGCCCTGCCTGTCTCCATGCCCAGCACGTGCAGTTGGTGGGGCCAGGATGCTGTTAACCGTCAGGAACACCCACCAAGCAGTTCTGCTTCCACCGGCCATGCTGGCAGCCTAAGCTCCAACCACCGCATGTTACTCCTCAGGAACAGGGTGCCCATAGCAGCCTGGCACTCCTAAGTCAGAGGGTGTAGGCCTGTGACTCCTGGCTGCTGGGCTCTGTCTCTATGTGGTGGAAAGAGCCCCAGCGGGGGTGTCAGGAAGCTGCGCTCTTCCCTGGGCCCCGCTTCTGCCTTGCTGTGTCCCCCCCCTCGCCCCCCCGCAGGGTTGTCGGCAGGGCCTGGGAGGTGGGAGGTGGGGAGAGGGTAACAGCTCAGGACTGAAGGAGACATTAGACCACAGAGGGGAGGCTGGTATGGTTCCCTGGCTTGAGGCGCATGTCAAGGGAGGGAGGAGAAGGGAGGTGGCCTGGGAGGGCAGCCCTGGAGGAGAGAAAGCCTTGCCCTGCCAACCCCGCCTACCGGCCTGGGGATTAGCTCAGGGCCCAGCCCACCCTCCCACAGGAGGCCTCCTGGCTCCTCCCCCGCACTTGGCAAGAGCCCAGGGCTGTGTCCCCTCAGCTCACACATTCCATAGCCTTCCTCCTGTTGGTGCCCCGGGACCTGGCAAGGATGAGGGAGGCCGGGGTGGGGGTGGGAGACACCCAAGTGACAAGGCTCTGCCCTCTGGTCTCAGAGACTTGAAGCAGGAGGCTCCAGCTACCCCGATTCGGAGATGAGGCAATGGAGACTGAGCCAGGCTAGGACTGGCATGGATGCCTGGCTGTGGCTCCTCAGGGACTCCCGGACTTACCCTCCAGAGCCCACAGGTGGTGCCTCACCAGCTCCACCACCTCCTGCCTGTCATCCGAGAGCACGATGCCGAAGCCAGCCAGCATGTAGGACACGTCCGTGCTCACGCCTGCCCTCACCTTGTGGATGGCGGGCACGACGCCCACCAGCAGCAGCAGAGCCACCTGGAAGGGCACCAGGATCAGGGCTGCAGGGCCTGGCTGTGCTCACCCCAGGCATTCCCATCCCAAGAAAAGCGTCTTCCAGGCTGACGGGAGACCGCAGGGGAGACAGTGCCACCCCACACGGGCGGCCTCTGCGCGGTTGCCATCTGCTCTGCCCCTCAAGCAGCTGCCCAGGCCTCCAGCGCGTTAGCGACAGCCCTACGGCCCCCAGCCGCCAGGCCTGGTGTCAGGGTGCACCTGCGGACATGGGACTTTGGTCTAACAGGCCGCTAATAGCGCTCAGGCAGCACACCGGTGCCTCCGGCTCTCTCTCAATCACCTGTCTAAACTTCAGAATACAGAGCTCTCAATACTTCCATGTTGGAGACAGCAAAAGACCTTTGTTAGGGGGACCTGGATTCCACTTTTCATTACCCTGAGAGATTCGTTGCAGGATATTGACCAAGTCAGATTCACCCATCGGAGCCTCAATGTCTCCTGCTTGTAAAATGGAGCAAAATCATGACACCCACCAGGATTTTGTTTGTTGTTGCTTTTGAAAGGAAATGTAGGTGATGGGGGATTTAACCAACATAGACTAAATTCTCCCAACTGCCTAAAGAGGAAAGGAATTCTGTTTCCTCCCTCTGACCGCTGAGCTGATGGGCTCAGCAATGTTGAGTAGCTTGCCGGAGGGACATAATCAGCGCATGTTTATGTCACCCTAAAAGCTCTGCTTGGACGCTCTAGAAGCCCCACAAGAGCTCACACTCCCTCCCCAATGGGTGGGTCAACTTCCCAAGATGGCCAGGAGCAACTGGGTGGATTGCGGCTGGAGCTATTGGCGAGCTGAGCTGAGCCTAAGCGGTCCTAGCTGGAGTTGAGGCAAGTGACACCTCGGAGGCAGGACATACCTGGTAAATGGCTGTGCCCGTCAGGGTGGCTGAAAGTACCAGCTTCAGGGGGAGTTGAAATCCTGCAGTACCCAAAAGGAGGGTGCATGTGAATGCCAGCACTGCACAGACCCAGAGCCCCTCCTCTTTCCCAGGACACCCAGAAAATGGGTTAGGGTTCACAAGCCCAAGGCCACGCCAGGGGCTCCCCCTTGTCCCAAGCTGGAGGTTGTTCTTCCTGATGACAAGGGTTAAGAGGGGGGCAGGGCAGAAGCTGGCCTTCCACTATGACGGTTCTGTGCAAGGGAGGGAGGGGGGGCCATGTGTCACCCCATCGCCAGTTCCCCCTCATACCTTGCTGTGGAGTGTAGATGTAGTGTCTGAAGCAGATCCGAGTGCAGGACAGGAAGCCCTGCTTGGAACTGGGGGAGCTGGAGAAAGACCCAGGCAGGAGGGGCCCTCAGGAGGAGCCCCTGCCCTGAGCCGAGCCCCACAGCTTGGCTCGTTGCTCATCCCTGCCCTACCATGTTGCCCAGTGCCAGCGCCCCAACCAGCCAGCCCACCAGCCCTGTCCACGGCCTGCCCAGGGTGTGCCTACGACCTCACCTGCTTCCCAGCTTCTTCCGGCAAAGGAGAGCCCTCAGATATTCCTCAGAGTAGCTACTCTGCAGCCCCTGTGGAAGCAGACAGACCCACGGGCAAGCTGGTGAGACCCGCCTTGAGCCATCCCTGGTACCCCAGCTCAGGGAATCACAGTGGGCACCCAGTAGATGCCCTGTAAAAATTCAGGGTGAGTATGTGCGGAAGTAGGGGCCCACCCATGAGAATGAGGCCTGTGCCCCCAAAGCTGCCCTTTGCTCCTCCACAAATATAAGGCTAGTCAGTCTCCTATCTAAGACCGCGCTGGGAAGTTCTTCCTACGGTCTACCTCCAACGCTTCTTGCTTCAGCTGGTCATAGCTCATCACTGCGTCCCCCCCGGCCCTCTGGCCTCTGCCAGCTGAGACTGAGGTAAAGGGATGACTATGTCCTGCAGCACTTGGAGCCAGGATACAGGAGGGGGCCTTCTGGGTCAGATCCCGCAGCCTCTCCTCCTACTCAAGGGAGGTCACAAGGGAGACCAGATTTGTCTAAGCCACATCCCAGGACTTAGGCTGCCTGCCAAGCAGCAGAGGCCCATGGGAAGACGGGGTGGGCCCCTGGTATTGGTCATTAAAAGAGTGTGGGACCTTGGCACCTGTTGCCATGGCAACCTTGAGATCCAGGGCAGGGGTGGGTCAGCTCAGTCCTTGACTATGTCCTTTGAGGCTTAAACCTCTTTGCCCAAGGCCCAGAGAGGATTTTCTTTCTCTCAAGACTCCTCCAGAGAGAAGTGAGGCAGAAAAAAATTCCTGGACTAAAGGGAACAGGATGGGGGTGGGGTGGGGGTAGGGTAGAGACCTGACAGGTGCACTGTGTATTCTGGGCAGCTGTTCCCCACTTCTGAGGGGACACAGACGAGTGTGGGCATAAGGAGGGCAGTAGTGACAAGTACCGAGAGTCCTACCACCTGCCAAAGCTGGGGCAGGTGGGGGACCTGAACCCATTGGCCTCTCCAGCCCTTACCCTCCACCCTTCCCTGAGGGGCTCACTCTTCCTTTGGCTTCAGCCCCAAGTCCTCTCTTGAGCTCCAGGCCCAGAATCCAGCTGCTTTCCAGACCCTTCAAGGCCACACACTTGAAGCACGCATGGCTTATCTAGGTTCCAGATGTTAACAATGGCACCCCCTCCCCCACCTGCCATCTGTCCTAGTGGCCACTCCCCAAACTTTTTCTCCTCATCTGAAGAGTAACCAGCCCTTTTGCCTCTGTGCCATTCTCGCTCTCTCTCCTGAATTTGGGGTCCCCCGGAACAATCCTCCCTCTTCTCTCTCCAAGAAGACTACTCGCCCTGCCTCCACCTATACTCCCATGGTTTTGGATGAGTCCTGGTGCATTTTCACATGGCACTGCAAATATTTGTTGCTGCATCCTGTTCCCCCAGCGCCCTGGCAACTCCTGGAGGTCAAACCTGGGGCAGTTGGCTCCAGGTCCATTGCACCCAGCCCAGGCCTGGGACACGTAGGTGCTTAGATGGCACCTCCATAAGCTTGCCATATCTTGTAAGAATTCTCTCTGACCCTGAAGTATTTATCCACCCACCCACCCATCTCTGCAAAACTTCAGAAATATTCGTTGTCTACTATATGCTGCGACCTGCCCCAGGCCACACAGCAGACATGAAGAAACAGAGGTAACCGACTTCTCCCCTCTGCTCATGCTCTTTGCTATGCCTGCAGTACCGTCTCTTTAGTCTCTCCCTACTCCAGGTCCTCCCTGTCTTTCATGCCCCCCAGTCTGCCTCCTCCAGGAAGTCCTCCCAGCCTGCCCTCCCCTTTATCTGACTCCATCCAACTTAGAGTTGATTCATAATGCAGTTCTACCCCAGGTGCTTCCTGAATCATTTCAGCAGCCACAGAGGTCCTAGCACACAAGGCTCCTGGCCTGTCTCATTTCTTCAGTTTCAGTGTTTTAGAAGAACTTCTGTCAGAGTCTATCTCCTGGCCAGTTTCTCCTCTGCTGAATTCCACTGTGCACACAGCTAGGTGCCTGGGTGCGCACAGCTAGCCTTTGCCCTGGGAGGGAGGACTGACCAGTCCCTCAGTGGCCGCTATGTACTATGATCACCCATAGGGACCAACAGACATGGGCGACCCAGTGTCTTGGGTTCTGAGTAGAAGCCCAGCCCAGCCCTGCCCCTTTACCTTAGCGCCTGCTCCTGTCCTGTGGCTGAGGCTCCTCGCCAGCTGCACCGGGTACCAAAGGCTCAGGAATCCAAGACCCAGAAGGAGAGGCAGGGAAGCCAGGAGGGAGTAGTACTTGTAGATCTGGACAAACAGACACCAGCACACCTGCCTGCCGCCTTCCTCCCCCAAGCCGAAGACCAGGATCATGTGCCTCCCGCCTTACATGGGGCCCTGAGGGTGGGGTCAGGTACCCTGGAAAGGCTCTGGTTCTATTGCTCCCCGCACTCCCTACCCCCAGGCTCCTGGACTGTCATGTCTCTTAGAGGAGCCAAAGCGGGGGATTATGTGATTTCCTCCTCCCTGCCCCAGGGGTCTAAAATGGGGTGGGGGAACCCACTTTCTATGTTCCTACATTCCTACTGCTTTGGACACGTGCCCCTAATTTTGTCTATGCACAGTCTGCAACCTGGGCATCAGCAAAGTACATGCCCTGCTTCCCGAGGCTGGGCCCTTCTATGTTCGTTCATCGATTTGTTAATTCAACAAGTTTCCATGGAGAGCTTAGTATGTGCCAGGTTCTGAGTGGTGAAAAAGACCAACCAGTCCCTGCACTCAAACCAGCTAGTCATCATCTCTACTGGGAGGGGTTGGTATTATCAACTCCGTTTACAGAGGAGGCCTGAGTTACAGTGGACGTGGCTTCCTTTAAGCCCCTGGCACCACCCGGCATCTCTCTGCACATCTCTGCTTATTTTATTGTGTCTCCCCTCCCAAATGGCAGCACTTGGGATGCCAAGGTCTTCGTTGGTCTTGGGATGCCAAGGACTTTGTTGGTCTTGTCCACAGCTGTATTCTAGTGCCTGGAATTGTCTCTGGTACAGAGTGTGTGCTTCAAATATGTTAGTTGAATAAATGAACGAACGAATGAATGAATGAATGAAGTGGATTCAAATTCAAATCCTGGAGTCCAAAGCCGACACCTCCACCCTTGGGACCGCAGCCTGGGCAGCTTTACTCATGTGCAGCAGCCTATGAACCAGGTTCTGAGGTTCTGGAATTCTCTTTTTAGCCCTCTGCCACCTCCTCCAACAACCTGATCACGTCCTTTGTTGCTCTTCACTCTCACACCAAAGGAAGGGGAATCAGTTGGGGGGTGCGGTGGATGCCGGACTTCTCTTCCTCCCCCCCAGCCTGCTTGCCTCTCCCTGTCCCCTTCCGGACAGGAAGGTCCTGGGGGAGGGACAGCTTCCTCATCTCCCGCTTGTCCCACAGAGGGGCGAGCTTGGAATGGGGTGCAATGTGAGTGGAAGCCCATGTACAAAGGAAGGCCCCAGGGATCATAACCAGAGATGCAGGACCCCTGCTGGCGCCAGTATCCCTCCCCGCCCAGGCTGCTGGGAGTCCGCGGTTACCTGTGGTGCCTGGGGACACTCCGCTCTCTGCCAGACCTGGACCCCAAAGTGAGCCCAGGCCAGCGCACTGCCCAGCAGGTGTGCAGCTCCATGCCTGACCGTGGCACAGGCGGCCAGAGGGTAGTACAGGGCGGGGTAATAGAGCAGGGCCACCAGCTTCCAGGCTTCTGAAAACCAGACAGGCAGAGTGAAGCAGGGACAGATGCGGGGCCTGGGAGCAGCCCACACAGGACTCTGTCTCCATCTTCCAGGCCCCTCAGCTGGTTCAGTGCGCAAGAGCCCAGGTTTAAAATCCAGGCTCTGCGATCTTGGGCAAGTTACCTCTTGGAGTTTCGGTTTCCCCGTCTGTGAAATGGACATAATAGTGACATATCAGTAAAGCCAAATGGGGCACCCCATGTAGCCCAGCACCTCTTCGGCACTCCACAAAGTAAGCTCTGCTGCTTCACTGGCTCCTTCGGCAGCCCTGACGCCTGGGGCGAACAGCCACACTCGGCTGAGTCACCGTGAGCACTGACTGACCAAGGTCAGCCTCCTGAGGGCAGCTGTCCTTGTGATCATCAGCTGCATGAACCCAGCTCAGTTCTCAGGAGCCCTTTGTACCCCCTTCCCACCTTCCTTCTCACACAGGGCTGAGCTGTCTGGAGGACTCAGCCTGTGCCCACGCACAGCTTCCCTCATTCCCCCGCGCACAGGTGCGGCTTGCATGAAAACCAGTTCTGACCCGAGCAGGTGGGACCCCCAGAGGGGAGGTTTCAGGTATGGTGGCAGGACAGTGGGGAGACTCATGGCACAGCCCCTCCTCAGGATGGCTCATGACAGGGCACAGGGAGCTGCGTGGCTCACTCTGGAAGCAGCCTGCTCTGATGCTCTGGACTGGCCCCCACACCCCCACTTCATCACTGCAGCCCCAGGGCCTCAGCTACACTGGGTACCTTGGTCGGGTGGCAACACCAGGGTCAGGAAGGGCAGCGGGTCCTTGTCGGGGAGCAGCAGGCACAGGGAGCTGAAGAGGACCATGAAGACAGCGGTGGGCACTGCCCGGGGCCTGTCCCCCGCCAGGAAGTCTGCAGGGCTGGTGCAGAGGAGGAGAAGAGAATCCCTCAGGCCCCCTCACCACCCGTTCCGCAGGCCGCGCCCCACCAGCGGGAGCTGTGGAGTCAGTTCCACTTTCCAGGCAGGGAAACTGAGCCGCAGGGAGAAGCCGCTTTGCCCATTCATTCCACAAATATTTGGGGAGTGCGTGAGCTCTGCGCTTGGTCCCACCAGTACCCACACAGCAGGAACAAGCCTAAGCTCCGCTCCCTCTGCCGCCCTGGAAGCGCCAGGAAGGAGCCGCCTCCACACTAATGGGTCTGTCTGGGCTGGCAAACCTTCAGAGAGCTCGCAGAGTCACAACATCCTTGTGCAACGGCTGCTGCTCTGGCCTGGGTGTAGCCGCGGGGCAGAGGGCAGATGGCGGGCACGGCCGTCCCAGGAGTGACACCCCCAGCAGGACCAGCTTCTTCTATAGCACCCAGAGTGTCAGTCACCCGGGGCTACCTCCCCAGAAAGGCCGGGCACACGCGCTGTGCTGACAGGTGTGGGATGCCCGGATGTCTACAGTGGGGCTCTACCTGCCTCACCCCACCCTTAGGTCTGCCCCATGTGAGCTCAGGGTCATCCCCACACTCAGCTCTAGGGTTGCAAGTCTGAAGCCGGCTACAGGCCAGTCCCTTATAAATCCACCTGCAGCATCAGGGCCCCATGGGTATCCTCAAGGGAAATGGAGGGCACCACGGCCTGTGCAGGGGGGAGTCCTGGAGCTGGACCCTGTTGGGTTTTGTCTCCTGAATAGGGACTGGGCCCCTCCCCCTCCCTCTGGGGGTCCCCACCAAACCTGGAGAGCTGAGTGGAGGTGGGAAAAGCCCCCAGGCTGAGCGCGGTGGGAGTTGCCACTGAGGCCCCAGCTGGTTTCTTGTTACCCAACAAGCCACCACCTTCCTGAAGTGGCCCTTATGGCTGGGTCCCCTGAGAGGGGTGTGCCCAGGCCACGGCACCCACCTGGGCAATCCGGGCCTGCCACGCCCACAGTGGGGCCAGAGCTGGCGGCGCTGCTGTAGCACGGCCAGCAGCAGCGACACGAGGACCTGGAAGGACAACACAGAGGAGGGGCTGGAGTGCCCAGGCCTTTCCCAAGGGGCTGAGTCTGAGGACTTGACTCAGTTCCCAGGACGCCCCAACCCCCACTGCACACTCATGCATCCTGCATCCTAGTTTGGGTCCCCAAGCTGGGAGAACTCCCAGATACCCCCTCCCAGATTTGGGGCTCTTAGGGTCCCCTTTCAGCAGCCCCAGCAGGAAACATGAGTTCCCTTGCTCAGGCAGCGGTAGCTCAGTAGTCAGTGTGGACTCACCGACAACACGGCCAGGCAGGCATGGAGGAGACTGGGTGGCACACTGGGGTGGCAGGAGGGCACCACTCTGCAGAATAGGGGAAGGCTGGGTCAGGCCGGTGTAGAGACTGCCCAGTATGCACCATACCTGGGATTTCAAGTTGCCCGCACTGGCGTTCTACCCACCACCTCCCTCTATCCTCTGATCTCTCCTACCCAAACTCGCCCAGTTCTGTCTCCTCAGGATCTTTCTGGGGCTCTCATGCCCTGCTGTGTGCTGGCCCCATGCTGAGCACTGAGGTTGCAGGACTAAAGGAGACAGAGGAGTCCCAGGGGAGATATGGGAGAAGCCAAATGGGCCGGCTCAGCTTGAACCATTCCTCTTTCCCACCCAGACCCTTCCCACCCTTGAAGGCCCACTTCATCCCTCCCGCTTCCAGGAAGCCTTCCTGATTGCCCCGTGGCCCACAGATCTCTTCTTAGAACTGGGTCAAGCAGGTCAAGTAATCAGGTGTTTGGCCCTACATTTCTTTTTTTTTTTTTTTTTATAGAGGCATGTTTTTATTTATTTATTTATTATATTTGTTTGTTTTGTTTATACATGCACTGGGTACAGTCAGAAGCGCCGGAGGGTGAGAGAATTCACCAGAGCCAGAGCGGGGAGCAGAGCAGGCAGAAGGACCGAAGTACACTGCTGAGGGGAGCAGCGGGCGGCAGGAGAGGTCTGCGCACCATGTGGGATCCTCCTCCGGTGGCCGGGGAGCAGCCGGGGATCGAACCGGCGCCGCAGAGGCCGCGGGCAGCTTCGCAACCCAGCGCTCAACCGCTGCGCCACCGGGGAGGCCCTGGCCCTACATTTCACTCGCTAGTATCTGAATTTTGTCTGTCTCTTTGACTAGAATGATCTTCCTTGGTCTTTGAGAACAAATGTGTCTTCTTTTTCTGTTTCCCTTTCATGAAGGGCTGCCTCGTACAGCTGGGCAGTTTACACACCGCACAAGGATGCCCAGCCAAGAGAGTGAGTGTGCTCTGCGATCCAGGCCACACTCCTTCTTTCTAATTACCACAGAGGCTCCATGGCCTGGCAGAGATCTTGCTATTATCATAACTGAGCACAGAGGAGGTAAGCCCATGGCAGAGATAAAAAAAAAAAATTGATGAGGACAATTAGGGCCTCAACTTCCCTGACTGAGAAGAGAAAGGAATATTGTGGCAGAGAAAAGGATCAGGCAGGTTCAGGACCTGACCTAAGGGGGACCCCAAGGCCCCATCTACCAGGGTGACTTCACAGCCCTAGGACCCTATGCTGGGAGCACTCAGTGTCCCCTGAGGAGTCACTCCAGGGAGTGAGAAGCAGGAAAGACCCTGGTTCCTCGGGCTTGTCCTTGGGCGGAGGGCAGAATAAATCTTTCTTCCCATGGATGGGGCTGGCCATATAGAGGACCAGACTCCTCGATCTGCACGCCGACCTCCCCACTTCTAACTCTGAGCCTCTTACTCTGGCTTGGTGGGTGGGGTTTGGGGAAGGCAGGCCCCTGTGTAGCCCTGAGAGTGCAGAGGATCCGCTCCACGCCTGCTCAGCCTGCACTCCTCGCTGCCTTGGTCCTGCTCGACCCTGCACCCCAGACCCAGCCAGGTGGGTCTCAGCACACTGTCCCTGGAGCAGCCTGAATTTTCCTACTCACCCCAAAACAGGAGTCACCCCACCCCACGGATCCCCTCCAGGGCCCTGTCTGGGGGAAACTCTGGTCTCTTCTGTACTAACCAGATTCCCCTACCTGTCCCTTAGCTCAGTTTGACTGAGGATCATGGACCCTCAGTGTTGATCTGAGCATCAGAAATTTGACTAACCAAAGGCTTGGCTGCTGGGCCCACCTGTGTGCTGTGGGACAGACGAGAGGCACAGACCCAGAACACACACCTCAGGGAAGGTGGGAAGCCTGATCCTCAAAGAGGTACAAGGAGATGCTGGAGGATTTCAGGGAAACAGACATCTCCCAGATGTGAGGTGGTATTGCACGGTGGTTTTGATCTGCATTTCCCCGATAACAAGAGATGGTGGGCATCTTGCCACGCCCTGTTGGCCATCTGCGCATCTTTAGTAAAATGTCTGTTCAGAGCCTCTGTGCATGTTTTAAGTGGGTTGTTTTGTTTTCTGTTATTGAGTTGGATGAGTTCTTTGTATATTCTGGATGCAACAAGTGTTGGAGAAAAGGAACCCTCTTATACTGATGGTGGGAATGAAAATTAGTGCAGCCACTATGAAAACAGTACAAGGATGCCTCAGAGAATGACCAAGTACCATGTGGTCCAGTCAGTCCACTTCTGAGTATTTATCTGAAGGACACGAAAACACTAATTCGAAAAGACACAGGCATCCCTGTTCACTGTGGCCTTAGTCACAATGACTGGACAAGGAAACAGCCCGCATAGCTATGGATGGCTGAGAAGATAAAGAAGAGGCGGCATATATACACAGTGGAATACCAGCAGCTAGAAAAAGGTGACATCTTGTCATTTGTGACAATGTGGATGCACTGAGGGGCCAATGCTAAGTGAAATAAGGCACATGGAGAAAGACATTTGTCTTTCTGTATGATTTCACTCACATGTGGAATATAAAGAGACAAAGCAAGCAAACAGAACAAAACAGAAACAAATTTAGGTATAGGGAACAGAAAGGTGGTTACCAGAGGGGAAGGGGGCTGGTGGGGAGTGGGTGGAGGGCTCGCCGGGGGTGCAACAGATAGAAGGGCGTCAGTTTTGTGGTGAGGGATGGAAAGGAGACTTTCGTGATGCTCGTGCCGTTGTGGACACAGGTGCCCGATGACAATGCTGTGCACTTGAAACCTGCAGACTGTCAGACACTGCTACCTCAATAACTAATGTATGTAAAAAAATAAAAAAGGGGCCTCCCTGATGGCTCAAGGAGTTAAAACGCAACCTATCCGCAGCTATGGCAGCATGAGTTCGATCCCTGGCCAGGGAGCTACCCACATGGCACAGCAGACCTCTCCTGGCTCGCCCGCTGCTCCCCTCAGCAGTGTATTTCAGTAGATCCACCTGTTCTGCAACCTGGTCTGTCTCTGGTGAATCCTCTTACACCGCCCACCCCCCACACCTCTGGCCTTGTATGCATACATAAATCAATCTTTAAAAAAAATAAAAAATAAAAAAGGATGCAAAGGAGGGAGAGAAACTTGGGGTAAGGCATCAGAGGGGGTGTGGTTTGATGTGGGTCTAAGATGGTTTGTATCTCTTCAGGCAAAGAAGGGGGACGGGTGCCCCATGCAGAAGGAGTTGCTGGAGGAGAGAGGAAATGAGGCGACAGGCAGTAGACAGTGTGACTGGGGCCAGGGAAGGCATTCGGTTTGACTGCGGCCCGGAGGGTAGGCCGAGAGCAGGTTATAGCAGGCATGGGAGGCGCTGGGGTGTGTGAGCGGGACAGTGTCTGGGTTTTAGATTCCATAGCTAAATCTCAATAACAATGGCAACGGCGGTAACTATTGACATTACTTACTAAGCACTCATGAGTGCCAGGTTTTTTGTTCCCTGCATTAACTTGGTTAGTACTTAAATGATGGTTGCTGTGATTATCCCCTTTGTGTGGACAAGGAGACCAAGGCCCCGAAAGGCTACATCTCTTGCCCAAATCACACAGCTAGTCACGTGGCGGTCAGGATGTGCATGGAGCCGGCATCTGATGGGGAGCACATGGGGGGAGATATTAACTTGAACCATATGAAGCTGCCATTTCTGTGCAGCATTAACAGTCACATTGTTAACGGGCGCTGTGTCAAGAGCTGCTGCGGGGTGGAAGCGCCGCTGTTCTCGGAGGCCCTTAGGAGGAAGTATGGACTCGCTTGATGTGGAGGAGCAGAGGGAAAGGGAGTTTCCGGGACGGTCATAGGGTTCTGGGCCTTCCTCCAAGAGGAGGGGTGTAGCCCCAGGAAGCTTGACTTGGTCTTGAACCCTCTAGGACAGAGGCCGATGGTGTGGCGAGGATGCTGAGGCAGGGAAGGAGCAAGACAACTGTTTCTAGAAGTTTGGCTGTGGCGGGAGCCTATAAAAAGCTCCATCCAGAGAAGAGGGAAGAGCACATCCCTGGGGCGTGAAAGGCTGGCCATCTGGAGTGGGGGGTCATGGCCTGAGGTTCCCAAGGAGGGGGAGCTCTGTCTCCTGACACATTCCCCACCCTGTAATGGGGCCTGTGAGCACACATGGTGGGCGGGCCAGAGGGAAGCCCTTTGAAGTGGTGGGGGGTGACACCCTGGATGGCTGCCACAGGCACACTGGTGTCCCCAGGCTCTAGCTGGGAAACTCAGTGTTGATGAGGATGGAATACACAGGGGCACATGCCAGGCTGGGCACATAACCTGGCTAGAGGGGCCTCTGGGGTAGGAAAGAGCTAGTTCGATTTGCACACATCAGTCCTGTGCCCCACCAGATTCACCCCGACCTCCTCAACCAGGTCTTGGCACCAAGGGGGCACCTGGGTAAGTGTGGCCAGGTGAATGAGCCCGTCCAAGTCCATCACCAGTGCCCAGCAGCCCCCACTCCAGCCTGCCTGGGCACATGGACAGGCAGGGGATCCCAAGGTACAGAGCTCCTCAAATCTTTGCCACACCAGCTCCCTGGGGTATCTGAGTCACACTGGGAGAGGTAAACCCAAGTTCACCTCCTTGGGATTCCCCTGAGAACCAGCTTCCTGCTCCCACCTTTTGGTGGGGAGAGGCTTAGGCAGCTGGGCTTAGTTTGGCAAAGCAGATTCAAACAATCCTCTTTATTCTTCCCTGAAGCAGTAGAAGGAAACTGCAAATTCTAGATGTCACCCACATTAGAAGCAGTATTCCTCATCACCCAGTCCCTGCCACTACCGAGCTTCACCCAGACACCTTCTCTAAATACCCAAACCACAGATCTGGCTGCCGGCCCAGCCAGTGCCCAGGTCCTGAGGTTCAGACGCCCAAGGACACGGGTTCAAACTCAGGTCAGGGTCTGTGTCCTCCTGGGGTTTCTGGGCCCCTCCCCATCCTGCTGTTCCTTTCATCCATACATAAACAGCAGAGCAGACATGCCCGGATTCTCAAGGCCAGCCAGGGAAGGGGAGTAGGGGCACACCCTCTCCGCCAGCCAGCGGGGCTACTTTCCAGGTGGTGGGAACCCTGAGTCCTCTAAACAACAGCTCCTTCCCCCAGGCCTGGGTGGGGCCTCCATCCCTGCTGGGTGACCCAAGCCTGGCCAGGCCACAGCCCCAGCCCCTGGGGAGACACGCGAGCAATTTTCCTTCTTCAGTTTTGGTCATTGATGGAGAACAGATGTGCACACATCTGGTTCGGCACCCCCCTCCCTCCCCCCGGCTCACCTTTCTAGTTCCCCAAACCCTCAGACAGAGCAGGGAGGCGGAGGATGGGGCCTGGGCCAGGAGCAACAAGGGGAGAACTGGGCTCCGGGGCTCACACAGGCGAGGCGTCCTTGGCAGCTGGCGGGGGCCCAGAGGGGCCCAGCCCCTCTGCCAGGGTGCCCAGACTAAACAAAGTGAGAAAGGGTCTGCACAAAGGCAACCGTGGGCTGAGTCCTCGGGGCACGTTGGGCTGGGCAGAGGCCACCTCCCTCCCCTGGGCTGGCATGAGCCGATCTGCTATGGAGAACAGACTTCATCTTCAGGGAGACACTGAGACCGGCCAAACACAACAGGGGCGGCTCTTTCCACAATGGCTGCCCCCCACCCCCACCCCAGGCTTTCCTCCTCAAGTCTTCTCCTGTGCTGCCCGACAGGCCAGCCCAGAGGACCGAAGCTTACTGACACAACACCCCAGATACTCACCAGTGGGACCAGTAACCCCTCAGGGCAGTCCAGCTCCTCTCAACCACTCCCCCAGCACCCTCCATCCTGGCTGCAGGCCAGAATCACCCAGGTGGCCTCCTGAGACTGGATCTGAATGATCAAGATGCAAATCTAGGAATCTGCATTTTGGACACACCACACAGGTGCTTTTTAGGTGACCAGCCTGGCTCAGGTCCACCGTCTCACGTCTCTCAATCACAGAGCAAGAGCTGTTCTCCGGGCGCAGAGGCGGGGAAGGAAGCCCAGCGAGGCTGCGAAGTGCCCAGGGTCACGGAGCATCAGAGCCGCAAAAGCCTATCACAGTCACCCCCGCCGGGGCCTCCCCTACCCCGCCAGTGACCTCTGCCCCCGGGCCCACACAGAGCCAGGGGTTCCAGACTCACTCTTCTGGCTGGAGCTCCTGGCCGCCGGGGGGCTCGTCGATGTACCAGCTGCCATAGTCATCTGTGGCCCCGAAGGAGGTCTGGTTCGCCGCTGCCTGGGAGGACATTCTCTTCTCTCTTTGACCCCGACCAGAGAGAGAGAGAGAGAGAGAGAGAGAGAGAGAAACCACTACAGATGTGAAAAGAGACTTGGGGGTGGGGGTAAAGAAAGAAAACCCAAACGAAGAACTGTTTCTCTGGAATCCTAAAGGTTACTTTCTTGCTTTTAGCTGTCTGGGAAAAGCCCGTCTTGGAGTGTGGGCCTGGGCAGCTGGCACAGGAGGAGGGGAAGGGCTTCTCATGTCCCCTCCCGTCCCTTCCCGCCCAGTCTTGCCCGATCCTGCAGGAGGTTATCCCCTTGGGGAGAGTGCACCCCCTGCCCCCCGCCCCAGGGTCCTTGGCTCCAGCTAGCACACCTGTCTTTCTGTCTGTCTGTCCGAAGGGCCACCAGCTGACTGACCATTGCTCAGAAGACCCCTTTTAAAGGAGGTTTGTCCAATCCGAGCTACCCACAGAGCCCCTTTTCCTTTCCTCTCCCCACACCCCCCCCCCAGATGGACCCGCAGGCACCCTCAAGGAAGGAACAGGGAGGAAGGAGCTGCAGAGATGAAAGGCTGGGCGGGCTCTGCGGCCCCTCCTGCTCCCGCTGTCGGGGGTCCAGCCCAGTGCTCCCTCTTTGTTTGGACTCCCTCGAGACCTCTTCCCGGGGACCCTCCACCGCAGCCTGACCTTTGCTGGCTCCTTTGGGCCTAATGGTGGGAGCACACCAGGTCCTGACAGAGCCCCTGGCCAGGGAGGCGCCTGGGCCCTCAGCGCCTGAGCCAGAAGGGTGTGGCCAGATCCCCCCACCCGCACCTGCCTGCCTGGCTACCCACACACATACCTGCCCTTCGCCCACCACATCGGCAGTGCCCCACTCGTTTTAGCAACCAAGGTGGCCACGGGGGCTGGGCTGGGGCTGGCGGCAGGAGGCAGAGCCTTCCATTCCTTCTCTTGGGCCTCCACGTGTCTCTCACTGGTAAAACCTTTTTGTTTCTCCAACTTGATTTCACAAGGAGATAACTCACCCCCACAAGGCGGAAATTAGTCCTTTAAACGGGAACCAGACCCGCAACAACTCCGCCTGCCTCCTGCTCCTCCGGGAGTGTGGGTTGAGGGTGAGGAAGACAGGGCAGGACAGGGACTGGGGATCCTCTCTATCCTCCCTCCCCAGAGAAGCTGCACCCCGGCAGGACCCCCACCCCAACCCCCCAGGCCCCAGCCAGGAGACAAAGTCTCCACAACCCCACAGAGAGCCTGGGCGGTGGGGCTGCCCTGGCATTTATCCTTTTATTCTCTGAACACACATTCATTGACCACCTACTATGTGCCAACTTGCTCTGCACCCTGGGACAAGAGTTCACAGTTGGTGGGCGGCAGGTGGACACAGACGAGTAGGCAAATAACCTTGAGTCTGAGGGAAGCACAGAGTGTCCAAATGTGCGCACCGTTGGGGATGGAAGTTGGTCAGAGGGAAGGGGGCATTCCTGAAGAAAGAAACCTTTCATCTGAGATCTGAGGCAGGGAAAAGTCAGCTCAGCAGGAGGTGGGGGGGTGGGATGGGAGTGGGGGTGAGGGGAAGCGTGTTCCCTAACAGAAGAGCCGCAGGTGAGGCTCAGAGGCGACAGGACTTGAAATCCAGACCCCTCCGGCCAAGCCGCCAGACCCACAGGCCTTCCAGGACCAGGGCCTCTGATGGTTTTGGTTTCTCCTCCTTCCCAAACGGTCCCTCTTCCAGGAAGAGGCTCTGCCCACCCTTCTCACAATGCTGAGGAGTCTGTGTCGCTGACTCAGAGCTGAACCTGAACTTTATTTGATGTAATGCAGGAACCAGCACCACAGCTGTCTGATCCCGGGGATTTGGGGTGAATCCAGCCTCCCAGGCCGGGCTGTGAGCTCCCTGAGGGCAGAGCTCCGCTTCTCCTTCAATCTCTCCCCGCTTCCCCTGGTGCACAGTGCTGGGTGGGTCAGAGGCACTTAAAAAACTGGGGTTGGCAAGTCATTGCTTATCTTTGAGACTATCGTTCCTCCATGCACCTGCCCCCTGAAGCCTCGGGTTGGGCCACGGTTTCTCCAGCCACAGCAGCAGAGCCCAGCATTCCCTCCCACTGCTCAGGGGCCTCAGGCCTGTAGCTCAGGGAACCACCAACTCTAATCTGAGTTTAATGCCTCCTTGTGAGAGCTCTTGATCATTAAAGTCAAGTCTGTGATGGGGAGTTCACTCCCTCTCCAAGGCAGATTTGCCCCCAGTCTGGTTTGGTCATTCATTCATTCATTCATTCATTCAACAGATGGTGATTGTAGGTTAATTATGTGCCCAGCCAGGTTCTCCACCCCAAGCCTACAGCAGCAAGCAAGACAGATACAGGCCTGCCCCTCAGGGAATGTAACCTCTAGTAGTGGTCGCAGGGCTGGGGTGGGGGTGAGGGAGACAGAAACAAGTCACTAGTGCTGAGAAGGAAAACAAGGTAATGCAAGAGAAGAGAGACAGACAGACAGAAGTTGATTATTGAAGGCTGGAGGGTCAGGGGCGTCCTTGCTGAGGAGGCAACATTAAAGAGAGATCTGAGGGAAGGAGGGGCCACCTTCCTGGCCCTGAGCTCCCCATCCACCCTGGTGAGGGCCAGGAGGCTGGCCAGGTGGAAGCTCCATGGTTCCAGAGTGACCACATGACTCAGGCTGGGAAGGGGACCCCACTTCTCGAGCCCTAAGTACCTCCTCAGCTTGGAGCCACAACAGCTCGGAGTTCCTACCTGCAGTCTGGGGTTAGCCCAGAGGGGTTAGGAAGGATGTCACTGGCCGGGGAACATATTGAGAAGAGAAAGCCAGCAAGGAGGTGCTCCTGAGGAATTCTCTGAAGGCCTGGCGATTGTACTCAGGGCCTGACCTCCGGAGCAGGCTTTCCAGTAGCAGACTCACACCCAGAGGAGGAGACCAGCACCTGCCCTCAGGAAAGGAGGGGCGGATGAGCAGAGGGAAAGACTGTGAGGCTCAGGGAAGCGGAGTGGGGGCAGGGAGCCAGGAGGTGGCTGGGGCAAGGTGGGAAGCTCTGAAGAGGAGGGCCTGGTCAGCAGTGGTAGCAAGAGCCAGATGGGAGTGCCTGAGGAAGGTGGACGGGGGAGTTTGAGGGGCAAGGAGAGAGCAGGGGAGGGGCAGGACTGCATATAGTGACCCACGTGGGCCTCCCTGGAAACACTCAGATAAGGTTAAAGGCAATGCCCAGGGAGCAGCCCAGGCCAACAGAGCTCCCATCCATTGGGGCACAGATTGGGGGGTGGCCAAGCCCTGGTCCTGTTAGGGGGAAAAGGCTGTCCCAAAGCTAATTCCATACAGGCTTTGTGGACTCCACCCCCTCCCAGGCCAAAGCCAAAGACACTGGGAACTCCAAATCCCATCACCACCCAAGGGAAGGTGGCTGGGACCTGAGGGTGGGGTTAAGCAGCCAGCTGGATATAAAAGGCAGACATGTGGGCTTTGGGGGATCCCCATTTTGGCTCTCCGCCAGCTCGCAGCGTCCGGCCAGCTCTGAGAGTGCCTTTGGGTTTCCAGGTCGGCGGATCGGGTAGGACGCATTAAAGACTTTATTTCCCTATTTTCTCCCTGAGTTGTACATTTTCCTTATTTCCTTTTCCCTTGTAAATAAACCTTTTATGAACCTTTTGTGTGTGTCTGTAGTGGAGTATTCATAAGTCCCTTGTAAGCGCGCGGGTGAGGACCCACAGCCAGGAACCCGTTTAATATCAGGGCTGCTCTATAACAGTCCTTGTGAGAGAGGGCCCCGAAAAGCTTCTGGGCTCTGAGCAAAGGCCGTCTGCCGTTTTTGGACCTGGCACCGGAGCTTCCCTGCCCTGCCCTCAGGCTGGAGCTGGCCTGTGAGGCCTCGGGACACAGCTTCCTTCCTCCCTGTGTTTTTGTTCAAGTTGATTAAATCTGAGGTATTTTTGTGTCTAGGAACAGAGGCTGGCGTGCATGCCTTCAGCAGCGTGTGGTTATCAAAATCCTCAAAGGACAAAGTGCTAAACGTAAAGCAAGCCAACAGTGGACGCCAAAGAATGGAGAAGGCCAGCAGCATCCCCAGCTCAGAACCACCCCCAGAAACTCCCAAATCCCCCATGCTATCTCCAGAATTTTGGGAGCACCACAAGAACGCTGGGGTCTCAGTATCACCTCCATGAACCCCTGAAGTTCAGTAACACCAAAACCTCCCAGAACCTGACTATATTCCACGGACCTCCAAACTGGCTAATCAAGCACAGGTCAGGTCAAAACCATGCTGAGCAACTGCAAAAGGCCTGGACACCCCCACTGCTCACCCCCCTTCCAGCAGTCCTTGGCTTTCAGAGTCCAACCGCACCCCCCCACACACAAAGTTCTATAATATTCAAACCTCAATGACACAGCACAGCAAAGAACACCCGGTGTCCTCTGGCCCAGGGTTGGGGAGATGTGCCTGCCTGTGCCGCCCAGCTGCTCTGTGAACTTGTGGGTAAGAGGCCAAGACAGGTCAACCCTGTGGAGGCCAGCCCCTAGCTACAAAGTGCACTCACGTGCGCACATATCCAACTGCCCCCGGCATGCACATGGGCCTAACCCTGGCTGCACAGCCAGCCCGAGCCCACGCAGTGGGCGAGAGGCAGGGGATGTTGGCAGCTAAGCTCACAGTGGGAGAGTGTGGATGGCTCTCTGCTTCCTACCTCCCTCTGGAAACCCATGCCTCCCTCACCAGTAACACCAACGCAGCCAGGACCAGATCAACTGGTATGAGTGTGGACACTGGTGAGAAGGGGGGTGTAGCTAGCTATTCCAGGGAGCAGTTTGGGTTTTTCCTTCCCAGAGAACTAGGCTAGAAGTGACTTGCAAGAGGGAAGGGAGGGAGGCAGATTTCAGCTCAGGACAAAGGTAACTTTCTGACTTCACAGAGTAGTGAACCCCTCATCAGGGGAGGCATCCAAGGAGCTGCAGAGGGTCTTCTGCCTCCAGAGGATGGCATACTCATCTAGCCAGGAAAGCCTGGCATTGTCCCTTCCCAGCACGTCTCCTGGGGTCAGGCCTGGAGAGATGGGCTTCCTGCAGCCCTCCTTCCTCAGATTGTTCCGGCTAATCACGCCGCAGGGCGCTCCATAGTCTCTTGCCCACAGGCATCAGACACAGCCCTTTGGCCCCTTGTGCCTTTTGGGGCCCATACTAGCTCACCCCACTCCCTGAGTACAGCTACCTCCTGGTCTCGGACCTCATCTCCCAGAATTGTTCAATCTCCCACTCCTGCCCCCTTCCTGTTTCCACCCTTTGTTTGTGCTCAGTCCCCCCTCCATGCCTTCTCCCTGCTCCCCCAACTGCTCCAGTCCTACCTGGCCTGCAGGGCTTGGCTCCAGCCCCGCTTCTGCCACGTGCTCTCTTGACCTCTGCCTCTTGGGCCTCTTCCTCTGCTTAGTGATCCCCCCAGAGAATCTTGTCCCTCCAGGCAGACAGGGTGCTCCCCAGTAACTGGGGCTCCTCTGAGGGCCAGCACCTGCTCCAACAGGGATCCTGGAGGGAGAGGGATGGCTGCCGGTGGGGTCACAGCGGTTGGACCCACCGGAGCAGCATCCCGGGCACCTGCTTTAAAAGGTGTTTCATCTCCTCCTCCACACAAGCAGCCCCCTCCTTCCGCCAGCTCTGGCCCTGCCCCTCCTCCCGCCCCCCAAGCCTCCTGCCCGTGATTTCGGGATCAGAGAAGCCCACCCCACCCCCATTTCTCCAGTTCAGCCCACAGCAGGGCTGGGGCCCCACGTAACACACAGGACGGCTTGTCTCCGGAGGAGCCTCTCCACCCCCAAACCATTTGCCAGAAACTTGATCTCCTTGGCCCTCAGAATCACCTCTTGGAGAAGTCTGCCTCGGGCTTTGAAGACTGAGCTTCCCCAGCTGTGGCCCTGGATAGGCTCAGGAACCCCCCACCTTCCCTCATTTGTCACCAGTCTTCACTCCCAGGGGGCTGCTGCCTGATGAATTGCACCAAGCCGAGGGGAGCCACCACCAGCTTTTAATAACCGGATCAGCAACCCCCGCTGCCCGGCTGGCCTGAGGGCTCTGACCTTGGGAAGGGGGCAGCTTGTCACACTTTCAAGGGGCTTTGGGGCTCAAATTTCAGGTAAGAGCCACTCCAGGGGGGCGCCAAAAGGAGGGCTTTCTCTTCAACTCCTCACAGCCCAGCCTCTCTCCTGACCAAAGTGGGGGTCTGAGGCCTGTTGCTCACCCCAAGCACATTCCTGTAGCAGCCAAAGCTGCAGGGACAGTGACCCCCAATCCTGGTGTTGGCTCACCAGGCTCTACTCTCCCCCAGTGAGCAGAGGATTTAACGACCACTGGGGAAGCCAGAAAGGGCTCAGAGGGTAATAAAATGTGGTGCGTGGTGGACAGGGAGGAGAGAAAAGGATAAAGGAGGGCCAGGAAGCAAGGCCCTAAGTTCTCAGGAGAAGAGAGTTGGGGCGTCATCTTCTTTCTCAAAGGAGAAAAGGGGTGCAGTCAATAAAAGGGTGAGGTAGCTCAGGGAGCACAGACCTTGGGCCGTGGGATTGTTTTTCAGTCATAGAAGAGTCCCTCCCCCTCCCCCTGCAAGAGGACACAGTAGTGATGGCTAGACCAGGCTGGGGGGGGGGTGGCGTGTGAGGGGGGTCGGGGTGTTGAGAGAGAGAGAGAGAGAGAGGAACTTGTGAGGGAGTGGGAGCACACACAAGGGCACACAGCCCAAGCCAAGCCTGGAAGGGGTCCGCCAGCTCTGACCTGACCCCTCCATTTTCACCAAGGACAGGAGGGTGTTTAGGGAGAAAGGGTTAAACCCACTACCCAAAAAGAAAACAAACCTTAGGCGTTCTTGGGGACCCATCCTCAAGAAACTCTTGCCTGTGTACGTAGAGAAGATGCCCAAGGCTGTTTGTCATGGCAACACACTGGCAGAAAGTCCACCTCCGCCAGTAAGCTTTGACAAGCGGATGGTGTTCGGGCGACACAGAACAGGGCGCTTCCTTCTGGCCTGGCGGGGTGGCCCTCCAAGATGGCCAAGTCACTGCCGCTGACCACACAGGTCCCGAAGTCGCCGAATTGCCGAACAATACTTGATCCTGTTTTGTGCATACGTGTGCATGTGTGTGTGCGCGTGTGTGCGCGTGTGTTCAAACAGAAACCAGGAGTCTGGCAGACACACGGTAACTCTGCATAATGGCCACGTTTTGGGCAGAGATGAGTTTTGGAGAAGGAAGGGATTTTCACTAGTTTGAAATGATGATACAGGGTAAGTAGGTGTGTAATGGTTGATCATTTCTCTCTCCCTCTCTCCCCCCCTGTAAAATCACTATGCTGTACCCTGAAAGTAATATATATCCAATAGATTGCAATGAAAAAAACTTCTATTGTACTATATATTTTTAGTAAGCAAAAGGAAATCGTAAGGCTGTGTTGAAGCTCGCTGTGAGAGAGGCACTGAGGACACCGCTGAGGTGTGTAAAATGGGTTTCATGCCCCCCAGTATAGCACACTCCCCAGCCCCCCTGAAGCTAGATGCAGTCCTGAGACTAAGTGTCGGCTGGTGAAATGAAAAGCTGGTGAAATGAAAGTGGTGCTGAACATCATTTTCAAAAAGAGGTATTCTTCCAAAAAAGAGGTGCTTTCTTTACTCCTTCCTCCCAGGTGACTGAAATGCAGTTGTGATGGCAGGATATCAAGCAGCCGTAGTGGACCATGAGGTGGAGGAGGTCGTGACTAAGTAAGAGGGCAGTGAGTTAGCTATGAAGACGGAGCCTGAGCTAAGCTAGATTACAGCGCTGGAGGGGCCCTCACAGGCCCCTGCTCTGTCTACCCTGTCCATCACGTCCAGAGGAAACAGACCAGAAGTCACAGGATGTGCTGGGGCAGTGACTGAGCTAGTTTTCCCAGAGATACTTCCACCCCCACCTGACCCTCCCCTCCCCTCCCCACACACACAGACACACACTCATACACACACAGCTCATGGCTCTTCCTAGACATTTCCCTTCCCAGAGTTTGGTCTCTGCTCCATTCTGTAGCTGGAGGACCCCCTTTGGGGCGTTGCCCCTGGGGTTGGGGCAGGCACCCAGAGTTGGTAAAGTAGCAGGTTGGGGGCACACCTCTCAGCCTGCTGTCTGATGAGGACAGAGCAAAATCCCCGCCACTGGTGCCCTATTTGACTTCTTCCTCAGTCTGTCTCTCTATCCTTCTGTCTGTCTGTCTGTCCTGGTCTCTCTTTCCATTTCTACCTCGATCTGATTCAGTCTATTCTGTATTTTATTTCTCTTATCTTTCTGTCTCGCTTTTTGTCTGTTGCGTTCTTTCTCTCTCTCTGTTTTCTGTTCTTCCCTTTCTATTCCTCTCTCTCCTGCCATTTTATTTCTCTCTCCAAGCCTGGATGTCAAGTTTGTCTTCCTCCTAAAGTTTCAGGCAGTGACTTTCCTTAGACTGTGCTGGTGCTAGCTCAACGCCGCCTCTGCCGGTGCCTGTGCCTCCCTCCTCCCCCTTTCTTCTTACCTGCTGTCATGGTCGGCGCTGCAGAGACTGCACTGGGCTCAGGACAGCAGGGCCCGCAGTGTCCCTTAGCGAATCAGACACCTCTGGCTCAGGGGGGTGAGTTTTCAGAGTCAGTGGAACAGCTGGGTCGCTGGGCACACAGAAAGCTGCTGAGATCAGTCTCTCCCTCCGGCCACCCTCTGAACTTTATTCTTCCCAAAGCAAGGCTGACAGAGGGGGGCTGTCAGAATGAGCCCAGGGAACATGTGTACAGGCAGGCTCCCCTCTACCTTTTTGCCATGCTGAAGGCCAGAGCTAAAGAACTTCAGGGATGGGCCTCCCCGATGGCGCAGCAGTTGAGCGCTGGGTTGTGAAGCTGCCCGCGGCCTCTGCAGCGCTGGTTCGATCCCCAGCTGCTCCCCGGCCACCAGAGGAGGGTCCCACATGGTGCGCAGACCTCTCCTGCCGCCCGCTGCTCCCCTCAGCAGTGTACTTCGGTCCTTCTGCCTGCTCTGCTCCCCGCTCTGGCTCTGGTGAATCCTCTCACCCTCCAGCGCTTCTGACTGTACCCAGTGCTTGTATAAATAAACAAACAAACAAACAAACAAATAAATAAAAAACATGCCTCTATTAAAAAAAAAAAAAAAAACTTTAGGGATAACCCAAGATTCTCCTGATTGTGCTCCAGAGCCTGGAGGGGGGGCGGGGCAGGAAGGGAAGGGTATACAATCTGAGGGGGGCAGGAAAAATGGGGACAGGATCAGAGTTATCACTTAAAAGGGAAACTTTCATGTAGCAAGGCCTCGGCCCTAACCGCCACCATGGGTGGAGGGAGGAGACCAGGCTTCTGATTGTGTCTTTTCCACTTACTAGCAGAGCGACCGCAAGCAGGCACTTTCCTGCTGTGGGCCTCAGTTTTCCCATCTGTGCAGTGGAGAGCGGCTGGCTGTTGTGCTTGACTTTGCCAGACTGTGCCTGCGAGTCTATAACCACATGAGCCTCTGGCACTGTGGTGCCCAGGGAGTGGGGCGAGCCCCTAGAGCGGTTCCGTTATGGAGCTGTAGCTGAAGCCCCAAGGCAATGAGGGTCACACGGTCACACCGGCGTGGGAATGCAGAGGCCATTCCTTGGCTCACCCACCTGATCTGCCTGAGTCTGTTTCCCGATCTGCAGAAGGGGCCAGTAGTCCCAGCCTAGGCCCTGAGGCGGATCCAGTAAATTCACAGACAGCGGCCCTGGCTGGGATGATTCAGCTCTGAACAGACTGGGTGTGGGGTGGGGTGGAAACAAGTAGGAGGTAGGTCCTTGGGGGTAGGGGCTTAAGGCTTACAAGAGCCATGTGGGGTGTCAGCAGGGGAGGCTGAAAGAAGCCATTGTGGGAAGGGCCTTCCCCGGTGGCCTAATTACAGGCCCAGGCGCTTACAAAGCCAGTGCCCCTGAGTGGCCATTCTTCCCGGGAAAGAAAGAAGACTTGAGGGCCCCATTAAGACCTTTTATACAGCAGGAGGGGGCTTGGAAGTCAGCACTGTTTCCCCCTCTTTTCACCCACACCCCTCCCCTTTCTGGACCTCTTCCAGGGGAGCCAGACCTCTGCATCAAGGGACACCCTCATCTGGAGTTTACACCTTTTGCAAACCTCAGAAACCAAATGAGGGAGGTAGCTGGGAATAGAAAGAAGCCAGGAAAAGAGTTTGGACCTGGTCCTGCCCTGCTCCCCTGGGCTCAATTTCCCCATCTGTAAAATGGGGGTGCCATCCAACCCTGGTTTGCTAGAATTCATAGAGGTTTCCAGATTTTCCCCATGGAA